GTGTGATTCTATGGTGTCACTTTTGCCATGTAACTATTACATTGATGCCTATTTCTGTATTTCCTAGGAATAACAACACAGATGTATTAACAATTTTATGAGGCTCTGACTTCTTACAAAGTCTTTTTCTATTTATCACTTCGTTTCATTCATGGGAATATGCTTAATGTTTGGGGGTTTCCTGAGTGTGTAAAGGATTGTTTTCGATAGATATTAGCACAAAAATTAGCACTGCATAATTAGGTATGGTGGATCTGCAGTTAAAAGTTTTCTCCATTCCAATGTGATCATGCACTTTTGTCCGGTTTTATTTAGATCATAAGACCAAGTTGACCTATAAGTAGTGCCTAGGCAGAGTCTTTATCCTCTGAGGCTTGACTTCATCTCTCATGCGATGAGAAGACAGCTCCTTTGGCTCAGGGTAACACGGATTGCATCTCACTGGGTTACAGTAGAGAATAAAGTCAACTATTTGTGTGAAAACACATGTATCTATCCGGTAACAGTTTTGAACATAAGATATAATTTTGAGTGACTGGAATGTCAGCTACTTTACTCCAGGTGAGTTCAGCTTAATCAGTTCCTACATTTTTCCCCTTAAACTTTCTGGGCTTCAGAACTTATAAACATGTTTTCCTCCTCCTTGGTTAGATCAAAATATCTCTTGGCAAATGTGTTATTACTGTTCAGTGAGCACTTGTTGATTGAATATTTTTAACAGTGTGGGTCTGTTAAAGACCAAAGTTGGAGGTTGAAAAGTGACTTAGATATTTCTGTTCAGGGTGTCTGATGTCTCTCATTTAATTTCTAGATTATAAATTCCATTGATAGAACTCTTATAAATATCACATTAAGAAGTTGAGCATTACCTTTAGGCCAAAGCAATTTACTTTTTAAAAATGTGATTAATTCCAACACAATCAGCCAGTATGTCAGATGATTTCAGTACCGCTGATCGATGCTGACAGGTGAGGAAATTAAAATCAGGGAGGGAAGCAATTAAATGCTGACAAACATTACTTTAATGAGACAACCAAATCCTTCATAAGCCGTGGAATATGTTGTATTCCTGATAAGTATCTCAGGGTGGTAGGTGAGAGACTGCATTTAGAAATGTTCTTCATGTGGATTTTGATAATTGGAGTGAAGGACATTCCATGTTCTAACATTTTGGCTGCTTCTGGGGTAGGACTCTTAAATTTAAGATTATATCAGCCTTTAATTTAACCAGATCTTAGTATAAGTAATCCCCCTACCACCACTAATGCTATCTTATGAAATCTGTGAAAAGACACAAAATTTAGACAGAATAATTCTTGGTTTTTTTCACAGTAGTTTAGAGATAACAGTGGTTTCATGGTGAAGACCTATGAAAAGGAAACACAAAAATGTCTTGTGTTTTTTGAGACAGGGTCTCACTATGCAGTTCAGGCTGGCCTTGAGCTCACTTTGTAGCCCAGGCTGGTCTGGAACTCCCAACAATCCTCCTGCCTCAGCCTTCTGAAGGCTGGGATTACAGGTGTGCACGACCATGCCTGACTCAAAAATGTCTATTTCATACAACTTCTGCTCAAAATTTGCCCAGGCTGAACTCACACTTTTCAGCCTTCTACCTGAGCCTCTGAGTAGCTGGGGTTCCAGGTCTGTGCCCCGACTCTCCTTGCTGTTTACATGATAACACTCCCTATTAAGAAAGAGCATCTGGACGTTGTTCAAAGGAAGGAAAAACCGGGATGAGGGAAAGAAGGAAAGGCTAGTACTAAGGCATTTCATATATTATGGATGGGTGGCATAACTGTACTGTTGGTGTCTGATGGTTTGTTGAAGGGGACAGTTAATGTTTAAGTTATTTTTTTAATATTTTGACCAATTTTGCATGATTGTATCTGGTAATCTGAGCAATTTATGTGATGACTGCAATTTGCAGTGTTGCTGGGGATTTAGCTCAGAGGCACAGCGCCTGCCTGGCAAGCGCGAGGTCATGAGTTCGATTCCCGGTACCAGAAAGAAAACAAAAACAAAAAGACAATTTGTGGTGTAATATCCATTGGTGAATTCCTACAGTCCTGCCTAGTGACACTATGTATTGTCTCTAATGTTCTTTTAAATTATTATTTTCTTATTCCCTTTAATGATTTGATCAATCTTCTATTCTTACATCTGGTAATCTGAGCAACTTCGTTGAAGATAACAATATGTAATATAACACCACCATCAATCTCTATCATTTGGTTTGAAACCCTGTATCACTTTTAATGTCCTTGCTTTTTGTTGTCTGTATTTTGCTATTCCACTTTTGTTTATGTACTATTTTCTTTAAAATAAAAAAAGAAAGAACATCTGGGACAGTAGGATTAATGAGTAGCCAGTTTACTGGCTTTAGTGGAAATTTTTACAAGGCATTGTTACATTGTTCATTTGTATCATAGCACTTATAAAATATCAAATATGATGAGTTACAGTTGTGCTAGTCTAATGCCACTTTGAATTTCTGTTCATAATATTAGAATTACCATGCTAGGGTTAGATTACTTAAATTTTTTCTTTGGGTGTGACTATACCTTCAAGATACCCTGATTTGTGAAAAACCCATGGAACAAGCCTCTCTGCTGTGTCCATTTTCCTTGTCTTTCTTTCTTACACTTTATCATTTTCCTTCTCTTATTTCATTAGCTTCACGCAATCCATCGTATTTTTTCCAACGTAACAGCAGAAGTTAATAACCCGATAGCAGTCTCAACTCGATTTGCTGAGTGTAGGTTTACATAGATTCTAACTAACAGATTTGCAGGTTTCAGGTTGGTAGTGCACATTATTTCTGGCTGAAATTGCTTCTGAAAATGAGTACATTTTTCTTGGGAGAGGAAGGATGATTCCACAAAGGATGCGGCCATGCCAGGTTCTGGGTCAGCAGTCCTAAAATATACAGAGCAAGCCCACGATATCTGGCTTCATTACCAAGAGGCTAGAGTGGGATTTGTTAGTTGTCCCAGATATCTTTACGGATTATGCAGAACTCCATTGCGTTGTGAAACACTCAGGAGCTACACATGACACTCAAACCATGTGAAGAGCACCTGCGAACTTCAATTTTGTGGTGCAGAGTCTTGTAGTTCAAGAGGCTTCGTTCTTGGTTTCAGTGCTTTGGTTTCAATGGCTTGGTTTCAATGCTTTGCCCAAGAATGGTGCATCTGTGAGACTTTGCTGGGGAGAGCAGAGAAAACATCCCTGCTATCTCTGCACGGAACACTCCTCTTCCGCCCAGTAAAGTGTCACCTTCATTCAGACCACAGATGTGTGGTCTTTTCCCTTTCTTTTTACTTGCTGGTAAAGTAGAACCCAAAAATGAAATGTGCTTGACAATTGGGACAATTTAGTGCATTGACAGCTGAGGTTTGTATGTTGTATATTTGATGTCTATTTCTTTATTTGGGGGGAGGGTACTGGGAAATGAACTCAGGACCATGTATTGATGTCCATTTCTTGAAGTTGTTACTTTGCTCTCTCCGAGTAGCACACTCCGACCTAGGAGGCTGCATCGTGTAGGATGTCTACTAATTTGAGTATCAAGGTGCAAGATTGAATTTTTATCTGCCCCATCTTAATCTTGTGATCTTTGAAAGATGCTTTCCGTGTTTGTAAAACTGCGGTAATAAGGTGTCATCAGAGTTATTTAATGAGGATGACTTGAGATCTACTGACCATGTTAACATTTTTCAAACTATAAAATTAACTTTAATATTGAAATATGATTAAGGTTTTGATTTTGGCGGCAGATGGCAAGTTTCTCGCAGATGTTTTATCAACTGTGTTCTTTGCCTAATCTGATTCGAGTAGCTTCTGAAAATGGGATATTTTAATAAAACTTCCAAAATGCCTTATATTTTTTAATAAATCTATTACATTAAAACAGATTTTTGTTCTTACAGTCAAGATCTATTAGATGCAACATCTTTTTGAACCTAATACATGGTTATGGGCACAAGCTTTAGAATGATGTGTGATTCATCAGCAGGTTTTCTTTGGAAGCTATGACTCTTGCTTTTCGGTAGTTGAGGGAATTTTGATCTTTAAAAAGAAATTGGTGTCTTTTCTTTCAGGACAAAAGATATTTGTGCTGTTTGTCGTTAGGTGACATCCTGTGAAACTGACATAGGTAAACGTGGTAGTTTGAAACTAGAGAAACTGAATAAAAAAATTGGACTCAAAGGCATTCTCCAGCGTTGCGTACTTAAAACATCCTCTTCTGATCATATAAACATAGGCTTATAGGAGAAAATGTCATCACTTTGTATGCTACTTCTATAGATAGGGAATCATGGAGAAAAAGCTCAAAAGGATAATTTTGGCTGGTATAATATTCCTAATTTACATATATAAATTGTTCCCGAGAGAGTTTAAGTAACTTGCCTAATATCCAGGGTAGGAAGGTAAGTGTGACTAGCTCTAAATCTCCTGTGCTTCTCCTGTTCCCTAATGCCACTCAAATAGTTGTTGCTGTTGTTCTTTTTTAATACTCCTGTTCCACCAACCCTGTAGACCAAGTTCATGTTTTTCTGGTCTATGTGTTTTCCCATCCTTATTACCAAGAAAAGCTAAGTGACACGCATGGGTCACTGGACCAGTGGGCAGAGCCCCTGGTTTCAGACTTGCCCTCTGAAGCTACTGTATGGCTTAGTCTTGGGCAGGTTCCTCGTCTTCTTTGAACTTCAGGTCCCATATCTATAGAATGAGGATAGCATTGCCCATTTCACATAGGACTTATGAAGTTAGTGACGAGAGATGGATTAGTTCTCATCCTTTCTGTGTCTCTGTGAGCTTCTATTTCTGTAATCTGAGTAGAATAAATCTTGCCTGTTTCTCCACGAGGGTGCTTGGGTGAATTGGGACAATGAGTGTGGAAATGTTTAAAAAAAAAGAAACTGCTGCTTTCATGTTAGAGATTATGAATACAAACAGGTTTAATGCTCAAGAGTAACTCATACCTATTTCATTTACAGACACTAGCATTTCATTTGGCTGGGCCTGGTCTCTGCTGTGTTTTCTAAGAGCAAGCCACCCAAGGTAAGAGAGGACTCATGTCTTCATGTTTATGAAATAAATGCTAAGTGGCGTCTGAGCCAATAATGTTTAATTTTATTAATAATGTTTAATGTTATTCTCCATAAAAGGAATGCAAAGGTATTTCATGATCAATAAAACCTGAAAAGTGGCCAAGACAGTGACCTGCCCTCCATTTATGTCTTTATGATTTCATTTTTCCTTTCAAAACAAGAGTTGAAAGGAGCAGGGAGGGATGGGGAGTTAGGCAGTGAAAGAAAAATTGAAGATGTGTTATGAGCACATACCAGCTTCCCAAGATAAATGTAATCATTATATACTTTGAACATGAAAACTATTTTTCCATCAGTTCTTACCTCTGAAGGTTTAATACCCAAAGCATAAAAATCTGGGCAACGCAGAAGATTCAGATTTGGTGGTTATTTAAGCATCCACAGAGTGCTGCGCTAGGATGTTTTAACCTATTGGTCCATGGTATCCTCAGCTCGCACAGGGCAGCAGGCTTTCCATCCAGTTTCCTTGGCCTTCCCTGATGCGTTTTCCATTATTCTAAGCTGCCTGAATTGCCTGAATCTGAAGAGACTAAAACATACTAGTAGGGTCAGTCACTTTCTTTTATCTGCCCAAGAAATCATCTCAAAGAAATACAATCCAAGCTTACAGCCACAACTAAACCATTCCAGTAACACAGACAGTGAGTCAGGGACTCTTGAAGTCTAGGAACTGTTGTAGCTTCATGCCACTTTACTGGGGGATAAATTCAAGGAAACAACCCTTTGGCGGAGGGCTACACTCACCATGAGTTTGCTGAGGAAATAGAGGCTGAGGGGGGAAAAAAATTAAGGATCAAACTGTCAAATTTGCACAGCATGATTTGTTTTTCCTGCGGTTAACCTGCTGGTTTCTGTACCTCTTAGTGAACTCTGCTCAGTTCTATGTAGTCTTTTAGAAGTCTTAGCTAGAAATGGGCGACGTAGGCAATCCGGTGTTCCTAACCATAGGCCTTGCAGAATATAACTTTGTAGAATATTTGATGCTATTTAAAGTCCTGTGACCACCTCTTCTGCTGAATATTATATTAATATTTTTGGTGTATTATCTCTATAATCATGAACTTCAAACATGATTTTAATTATACAGACCTTTGGAGGAATTGAAGTTGGTTGGTGTTGCCCTGTATTTGTGGGATGTATCATTTAGAACCTGCAGTTATCATACAAATCTTCGCCCAGATGTCAGTTGCTAATTGTGAATAGACTAAGCTTTGAAAAATGGTTCACTATGGCTAATTCTCCACTCGAAACCACATGAAGTTGTTTTAAGCAAGACTTGAAAGTTTATAAAAATTGTTCTTTAAAAAGACGAACTCTATGTCTATCTATCTATCTATCTATCTATCTATCTATCATCTATCTATCATTCATCTATCTACCTATCATCTCTCTACCATCTGTGTATCTATCAACTATCTATCTATCTATCTCTATGGATGAATAATTTCTACTCTTTGGAGGTGGGGGCTAGTAGGCAGGGGAGGATAGAACATTCTTAAATAACATTCAGAAGGTGGAGAAGTCATCATTCTGGTGGCATGTGGTAGAAACTTAAAATAATCTTGTGGTAATAATGGTTATCAGAGACAGTAATGAAGAAAGAATAACAGTTTAAATAAATAATTAGACTTGACAGTAGATGTGTCAACAGGTACTTACTTAATGAGTATAATCATTGTTTTTCTCTCCTTTTAACGTCGATCCACCAACTGCAGCATGTTCCCTGTCCGCTTTCCAAACCAAATCTATTTAAAGCTGTGCTTCATGGAATCTGAAATGGTATACCCTGTTTACTGTTTAGAGCTGATACCTCATGTTTCTTAATAAGCAAGCTCACAAGAACAGGCTTCTGGCCTCCTGTAGACCGATTATCGCTGTTTTTCCACAGGGTGATTCATTAGCAGGGATGAATAATAATTAATTCTCATGGATTTGTCTTATATTGCCAGAAAGAATTGTTTATTATAATATGAGGGAAACAGCCCTTGTGTGCCTTAAATACATTTAACCAATTATTATTATTATTATTATTATTATTATTATTACTTTCCTTTGAATTGGAAGTAGAGGCAGTAGTTACAAATGAATTTACTTCCTTTGCTATCTGGATAGAACGTCATTGTTTTGAGGAGTGAACCTCTGTGTTATGTGAAACGTGAGCCGGAAGCAAGCAGAATCTAGTTCTAATGCCACCTCTGATGTCAATAGGCTGTGTTGCCGTGGACAAGTCATCTGCCTTCTCCAAGGTCCATTTCAGCTTCTAACAATAGACAAAGGTGTGCCAATATTTCTTCTAATCCAATGTTCTGTGATCTATGCTTTTATTTCCTAGCCAGTCCCTTCTCCCCGCTACCATGTTTCCAAATTCCTGACTCCACTACATAGAGTCAGTCACAGCTATGAAAATCGTTCTTGTGCTGTTTAGCTTTTGCTACTTTTACATACCAGGAAAGCAGTTAGCGATATGAATTACACACATGCTATGCTTAGGCATTCATACCGTGGTTGTCCACTACTTCCGTGCAATGTTTTACTTTATTATTTCACTTATTTTTTGAGACAGGTTTTTTTTTTTTTTTTTTTTTTTGGTTTTTCTCCGGTACCGGGAACCGAACTCACGACCTTGCGCTTGGAGACAGGTTTTTTATTATGTTACGCATGTTGACCTTCAACTGAAACCTGATTTTCCTGCCTCAGCCTCCTCAGTACTGGCTCCATTCAATTTCAAGTTAGAAGGGAAAGAAAAAAAGTAAAAAAAATCCCTGTCCCCTCTCCCCCTAGTCTATGACATTGTTCTGGGTCTCAGTTTTCGGGTATCTGCTACACTCCTCCACCACAAACAGTGGTAAGAAGAGGGGGATTGCTCTTTTGTTTGACTTTTCCCTGCTGAATCACTGGACCCGGAAGGCGAAGTCCCAGTGGTAACCAACTTTTCTGTTCCAGAAATGGAGGGAACCCGGTTTGTCTGAGTGGCTGGTGGTCAACCCTGGGCTAAAATTTTGTTTTCTGACTTCACAGTCATGTCTCTGCTTTTTTTAGGAAATCTCTTCTCATTACTGTCCTGTCTCTTTCCACTGTTTCAAGGGCCATTGTCTTTCACACAGTGCTGATTTCAGTGTCAATGTGAGATCCCCTTGAAGCACAAGTGGCCTTCAGACATCGTCTTCAGCTGCGTGGAGTTGTGGCACAGGGGTTCTGGCTGCCTGTGCAATCTGTGTTTATCAGAAGAACGTGGATCTCCTTGCAGACTTTGCCCTGAGAGATTGCTTGTCCCTGCCCTCGCCGCGCTCTCCTCCTCCCACCTCTTGCTCTTCTCTGGGCCAGGAAGTCAAGGGTGAACTCCTAGCTGGCTGTTTAGTGTGTGTGATTAGGAGCACTGATAAAGGGAGGAGGAGAGATAAATAAGCCACAGGACAAGAGAGTGTTGGCCAACACAGTGAGATCTAGTTTGGGACCTGCTAAGGATTGCTGAGGATACACAAGATTGATAACAGAGTCCATTTTTCGGCTCTTTTACCAACTTGTTCTAGTGGGACTGGACTGGGAATGAGAAACAGCTGGTAGAATCATTGCCAAAACCAAATCCATATTCCTGTGGACTTCAGGGTCCAAAGAGGAGACTGATAGTTACCCATCAGGTAAAAGATAATGTAGAGGTCACTCAATCTAAGCACTTACTGTGGTTTGTCTTTTTTTTTTTTTGTATCAGGAATTGAACTCAGGACCTCGTGCTTGCCAGGCAGGGGCTATGGAGTATTTACTGTGAACCACAGAAAGTTACTGAGTCTGAAGTTCAAATCATGGCGCTCATGAACTTGCTGTGGCTTTACTGAAGGCATCTTTCAGTGAGCCTCAGTCTTGCTCTGCGTGAGATGAGACTTGTTGGCTGGAAGAGAGGACGTGAAAGGTTTCCTGTACTCTGACTTCATGAGTCTCAGATCGACTTAACTTCTCAGCAGACTGACAGCCATGCCAGGGCTTGCATTCAGAGCCCATCGCTGTGGTTACTTCTGTGACCCGTGTTTTCTCAGTCGTATGTTTGCCTCTCTCAGCCTGGCTTTAGTCAGTATACTTTTGCCCCACTAGTTGACAGGTCCCTTCTTGTCAATGGACTTGCTTAAGGCGGTCCCTGTGTGTGTGTGTGTGTGTGTGTGTGTGTGTGTGTGCGCGCGCATATGCGCATGCGCATCCACAGATATCTATTTGGGGTAAAAGTGAAGACTGTGGAAGTGTGGAAAGCTCAGGGGAGTCTGGGAGACATTAGGCAAATGCACAACTGCTGAGAGTGCTATCTGAAACTTCCAGAGTTTGCTAGATACTCTGAAGGCCATGTATGGACTTTAAACTGATAAGAACAGATACTACACTCGACCTTAGCCAAAAGGCCGAGAAGCGATCACATGTGGGCTTTAGAGTGGGCAAAAGATGCTTTTCTGAATGGGAAGTCTGAGGTGACATTTGCTTGGCAAACACTTCCTGTTGCCCTTGGCTTTTTCTCCCAGTTCATCCACTGTCGTGCCCTGACTGTCAGCACCACTGAGCCTGACTCGACATTTACACATTTTAAACTGCTGAGGGATATTTTCATATTGAAAGTTTCATTTTGTTTACTGCATTAATTAATTTACAATCTCACCCAACTGCACTTTTAGCCTGTACCCTGCTAAGTGCTAGTCACTTTAATACCATGCCTGATTTTACTTAATCTTATGAAATAGAAAGCTTTTTTCTCATTTTCTCATGTAAGGACAGCTCAGAAAGGCTAAGTGATTTGTTCAAAGTCCTACAGCAACTACATAGCAAAGTTTGGGTTAAATCTAGATCTGCTCTAAAATATGTGAATACCTCCAGATATAATATATTTTATGAATAGGGGAGATGAGACAAGCTCATAAACCATGGGACTGACTGGGAGAAAATGGTAAATGGGTCCTAGGGGTATCACGATTG